TCATGAATGAAATCACACTCCTGTATGACCGACATTGTACTAATTTTGGTTGATCGAGTAGAACAAGTCACATGACATGTCCAGACGAGTTATTATCAACAATAGTGTCCTTATATATGATGCTAAAATTAATGTTAACACTGGATTAAACGTGCATCTCTTAACCCCTCCCTCGCATTTACGACTAACGATTTGCATTTGCACGTAATATGCATTCAAGCCCATTAAAATGCTAATACGACCATATTGTTATTCTGAAATTTGAATGCAAGTCTTGCCCTGTACCCCCCCACCCCACGGTTCACATATCCGACCCCCGATTGAACAGATAATTTACATACACATCTGTATGTCCCCCAAGTTGCTCCGCCTATGGTGGGGTCAGGTAGAGGTCATAGAGGTGGGTGATGTAAAGACAGTGCCTCAACTAAGAGACAAGTGATGACAACAAGATAGAGAGAGTTCGAGAAGGGAAGGCGAGACCAAGTGTGGGCGGAGGTTCACGCCGAGAATGAGAGAGGGGGAGGAACGAGGTTTGGGGCTGTGTTGGCTGGTTGCTGTCTCGTCGTCGTCGTTGCTATATCGTGACGCCTGGGGTCTGAAACCGCGTTAAAGGCTACATAAAAGAACCCTCTGCAGTCTGACTACGGAGTCATTACAATTATAACGATTCATTATTTCACGGGCTAATATTGGGTTTGTGCGATTATTTTACATATTCATACTGAATATTGCTATTTGATGCCATTGAGATGGAACATTCATCCAATAGTAGACAGCTTGATCCTAATACCTCCAAAGTGTTATTCAAATAATTTTAATCCCATCCTGATCCTGCACCTTCCGCTTCACATATCCCACCCTTGGTTCGCACGTCCATATTACATATGTAGGGGTTATTACGGGAGAAACGGCGGACAACAAACACAGGACTGTCGGCACTCACATACACGGGTGGTCACACCGACGTCCGCATCAGTTATTGCCCACGCCCCCAGCCCTCGGAGGCGATCCCTATAAAAGGTGGAGACCCAAAGAGCTCGAGTTCAGTTCGACACGAAGCTGACCAGTGAAGATCCAAGACTCGGAGATTAGGCCCTGGGACTCCCCGGTCTCGCCGTCCTTATAAGGGCCGAGCCGGGTAAGCCAGTGGCGCGGCCCAGGAGCTTCCAGACCGCTGCCCTTGTCAGGGCAAGGCTGGTTAGCTGGTGCCGAGATCTGTGCTTGCCAGGGCCAGATCAGTCAGCCTCCCGTAGCCCAGTAGAGGAGGACTGGGGGACAGGACAGAGGGCTTAGGAATAGGGTGGGTTTCCCATAGTACGGGTGAAGGGGCCGATACCCCTTCAACTATTGTGCCTGTCCCTGGGTTAATAAACAGAGTGTGCTTCAACTTCGACATCGTTTCCTCGAAATTACTACACATACATACATGTTACATGCATACATACTACATAGAGACATATCTCATGCATACATATTACATACAGACATGTTACATACATACATATTACATTCATGCATATTACATACAGACATGTTACATACTCACGAGCATAGTGTGATTCTTAGAGGACCACGGTGTGAAGCAAAGAATTCGAATGAGATTCGAATATCACACTTGTTTATGATGTTATTTTATAGCGTTATAATGTATCGCTGTTAGCTTATATTGTTAGAGTTCACAACATTATAGTTTACTATAACACTAGTTTGTAGTGTTATTTTAAGCGTTACAGTGTATAGCTCATAGTTTGAAGGTTATATTGATAGAGTTTATAATGTTAGAGTATACAATGTGAGTTTACAATTTGAGAGTTTGTGAACGTGCCCTGTTCTCGTGGGACCCGACACGGATTTGGAAATAATTGCTAAGATCATGTCTGAGCTGAGATAAGCGACTAATGTTTACTTTGTTTAATCATAACTGTGTGTAGGTTAGTGCTATCGGGGCTTAGTGAATACTACTCATGAATGAACTCATACTTCTTTCGGATATAAATTGAAATCATGTTGGTAGAACAAGTCGCCTGCCTTTTCTAGACGAATTGTTATCTTCAAGTGCGTCCGTAAATAAACTGCTAAAATACACAGCATAGGGAAGGCTGTTTTGTTGGGGAGATGTAGTTTGGGTAAGGCGCTGTGGCCGGGTGATGACACGGATTCTGAAACAATGGAGTTTAACACTCGCTGCTTGGCCTCGTCGACAGCAGCGAAGGCTATCATATACCGCCCCATTTACGAGTTGGATGTATAATGTGTATAGTTGAAGGTGCTAGGTGTTGTTTTCTTCAAACAGCTACAAACGTGCGTGTGTTGTCTGTTTTTAGGATTTGTCCATTGATGTTGTTCTTTTTAATCCGGCGTTTTTTTGTTGAGTTCTGTCACTTGAGTGTTGCAGTTTGTTTAAGAATTCGTCACGTGAGCGTGGTGTTTTGCTTGTGGGAAATTCGCTTTGTCACAATTTGTGATTGTTATAATAATTGTAACGATTCATAATCTCATGAGTTCATAATGGGTTTGTGCGTGATTCTTATACGACCACACTGTGATTCTAATGATATTATAATACCTTACCTCCGTTTATATGGTTATAAATTAGAACATTAGTTTACAATCTTTTAATGTTTAGTGTTATCTTTTATAGTATTACAGTTTACATGTTATAGAATACAGTTTATCCCCGACATACTTCGGGATTAGGGACTGGTACGTTGATGAACGATTAACTACGGGGATCTTTACCCTCAAGGAACACGTGTTAATCGGGTAGACAGCCAAGATGCTGCCGGTTAAGGGCACACTTGTGTGACGGAGATCCTCCACCTGAAATTATCTTAACATGTTATTGCTAGGAACACAAAATAAAGACCGTACAAACATTTGTTAAAAATACGTTTTTATTCATCTGCAATCATTTTTACGTCAAAACTCGAAGGGAATATTTATTACGTCCTATGTTCACACATTTCCAGTACAATGCAAACCATTTCCGTTCCAGGAATACCAAAGCGTTAAAGTATCATTCCCCATGATTTCCTTATTAGTTCACCACATGTGTTCACTGTGCGTCTATATTCGTTTACAGCGTTACAATGGATAGGTTGTAGTTCATAGGTTATATTGTTAGAGTTCACAAATTTAGAGTTTACTAACAATACTAGTTTACAGTAATTTTTAGATTATTCAAATGTATATGTGAATGTTTTTAAGTTACCATTGTTGAAGTTCATAATGTTAAAGTTCACCGTGTGAGAATTTACAATGTGAGAGTATATCCAAGACGTCGATCGATGGCGTTGGTCTGGTAGGTTCGATCATAGTTTTTGATCAAAGGCGTTATCCCATCACGGGACACCATCAAGCTGCCGATATAACAGTAACAGAAGCAACTACAGCAGCTACGAAACCGTTCGATGGCAAAGCAGCGACTTCTGCTTCTGCTCCAACTGCTGCCCGAATGTTTGTGGCCGGCCCTGCTCTCGTGGGACCCCACACGTTCATGGAAATAATAGAGATGATCCTGAGCTGAGATTTAAGCGACTTAAGTTGACTTTGTTTAAACATAACTTAGTGTAGGTTAGTGCCAACAGTGTTTAGCGAATACTACCGAAGAATTAGCTCACACTCATTTATGACATAATTTGTCATAATTTTGGTTGATTAAGGAGAACAAGACACAGGCCATGTCGACGAATTCTTATCACGTACATGTACTTAACTATATAGCTAAAATAACGTCAACACTCGAATAAACTTGCAGGTCTTAGCCCACTCATATCGTTGCTTCGCAGATGCTCGAGATTGAGTGTCCTGCTGTGGTCCGAATTGTTTACTGCGATAACATTTGAAACAAGATGCTGCCGGTTAAGGGCACACTTGTGCGACGGAGATCTTCCACCTGAAATTCTCTTAACATGTTTTTGCTATGAACATTGTAAAATAAATAAGGGACAAACATTTGTTAAAAATACGTTTTTATTCATCTTGCAATCATTTTTACGTTAAAACGCGAACCTAATGTTTAATATGTCCCACACCAACATGCTGCGTATATAACAGTGCTCTCGTGGGACCCCACACGTCTATGGAAATAATTGAGATGATCCTATCTGAGCTGAGATTTGAGCGTTATCGTTTATAGTATTACAGTTTACATGTTATAGAGTACAGTTTATCCCCGACATATTTCGGGATTAGGGACTGGTACGTTGATGAACGATTAACTACGGGGACCTTTCCCCTCAAAGAACACGTGTTTAATCGGGTAGACAGCCAAGATGCTGCCGGTTAAGGGCACACTTGTGTGACGGAGATCCTCCACCTGACATTATCTGAACATGTTTTTGCTAGGGACATTATAAAATAAAGACCGTACAAACATTTGTTCAAAATACATTTTTATTCATCTGCAATCATTTTTACGTCAAAACTCGAAGGGAATATGTATTATGTTCTATGTTCACACATTTCCAGTACAATGCAAACCATTTCCGTTCTAGGAATACCAAAGCGTTAAAATATAATTCCCCATGATTTCCTTATTAGTTCACCACATCAATGTACATCCTGAAATCGGCTATCTAAAGTCGAATAATACCAATAAAAAAGCTATGTACTTGAAAAAACCGTTTAAAATGTTGAGTAAAGATGTACCTACAGGCGCATTCCAACTTTAGCTCAACAGGAACACCTAACGACTACAATTAAACCCTCTCACATCCAGTGCTCTTCACACCACTTCGGCAAGTAATCTGATAACATTAACCACATGCAATATTATGTTTCAGTCACCCCGAGCTCTCTGGTTGACTCTCGAGCCACTCCATTACATCCAGCCATCTCTCGGGATCCAACTGCATGGGATCGAAGGTGGAAACATCTTCAGGACTAATTGCAGCACCTAGAATTTCAGCTTTTGATTTCAGTGTCCTATCATTGTGGACCTTCTGATGCCTGTTCATGGTTGATGAGTGTGCAAATGCATTCCCACACACAGAGCACAGGAATGGCTTCACCCCCGTGTGTGTTCTTTGATGAGTTTGAAGAGTTGATGACTGTGCAAATGCCTTCCCACACACAGGGCACAGGAATGGCTTCTCGCCCGTGTGTGTTTTCTGATGGTCTTGAAGAGTTGACGAGTGTGCAAATGTCTTCCCACACACAGGGCACCGGAATGGCTTCTCGCCCGTGTGTGTTTTCCGATGACTCTGAAGAGTTGATGACTGTGCAAATGCCTTCCCACACACAGGGCACAGGAATGGCTTCTCGCCCGTGTGTGTTCTCTGATGACTCTGAAGATGTGATGACTGTGCAAATTTCTTCCCACACACAGGACACAGGAATGGCTTCTCGCCCGTGTGTGTTTTCTGATGGTCTTGAAGATGTGATGACTTTGCAAAAGTCTTACCACACACAGGGCACAGGAATGGCTTCTCTCCCGTGTGTGATTTCTGATGGTCTTGAAGAGTTGACGAGTGTGCAAATGCCTTCCCACACACATGGCACAGGAATGGCTTGTCGCCAGTGTGCGTTCTCTGATGACTCTGAAGATGTGATGACCGTGCAAATGTCTTCCCACACACAGGGCACAGGAATGGCTTCTCTCCCGTGTGTGTTCTCTGGTGTCTATGAAGATGTGATGGCCATGAAAAGGACTTCCCACACACAGAACAATTGAATGGCTTCTTGTCTCCGTGTGCGTGGGGATGTGGAGAGCGTCTCTGCTCCATGTGAGCGTAGTAACAGCAGCGGTGTTATCGAGTCGAAAGTACGCTATCGGCCGCAAGGATGTTTAGCGTTGAGTTTTGGATTTTGTTAACTGCTAAAACAAGAACGACACTCGCGTCTAACCGAGACGCAAAAAAATCCCGCTAATTTGACGACGAACACGTTTAAGAGTTTATCCGCGAAAATAGACACTTACTTGGAGATTCACGGTATATCGATGTCTGGAACCCGTCTGAAGATGTCGCCACGAACTCTCCCGACGCAAAGTCGCCTAACTGTCGACACAGCAATTGTGCTCGCCAGGCTGCGTTGTCTCGCGGTTGAAGGGCGATCAGCAGAGCGACGAGTCGAGCGTCCAACCTCATCAAGTTCCCTCTCGAAATGGCATTGAGCTCTGCTTCTGAGCCGCCTTATAACTCCCCCCCTCGGATCCAATCCTTTGTCTTTCAGGATATTTGCATTCGATTGTTAATTTTGGAAGGTACAATCCGCATGTATATTAACATACCGAAGGGTAATGTGCCCATTGTGCTTCATGCATGAATATGTAAGTGCATCTCAGTGTGTAATTGTGCGCTTATTTTGAATAAATGGAAATACACGTTCCCCATGCCCTCCATTGTCCTCGATTTAAAGTAAATGCAGCCCCGTGGCGTTGCCAAAAATCGCCGAGCTTCGGGAGTGAGCACGTACAGACGCGTAGTGACCACACTTGCAATACAATCACTCTAACATCAGTAACCAAAATCCGATCTGGTACATGGTCTCCGCTTTTTTCTGGTTTGTATCCGTCATCACTCCGGAGACAAACAGCGAGGCATGGTTTGGCCAGCCACCACCTCGTTTGCCAAATCGACTTTAATAGCTGCTCTCAAACAACACTGTCACCAATAGTGGTTTATGGGCTAGGCTGTTAAGCGGACAATCAGTCGTTTTGGGCAAGGCGTATGGGAAAATACACAACCCTGTTATCCCACAAACACAATACACAGCAGCGGTAAGGCTGCCTTGTTGGGGAGATGTAGTTTGGGTAAGGTGCTGTCACTGGAGTTAGGCGATGTGACTGGGTTATCACGCGGATTCCGAAAAGCAGCTTAGACGATACGATCCACTGCGCTCCATCTCCCCACATGGACAACGACATTCTCAGTAAAAAAAAAATGAATGGAAATGTTTAAATGCGTTTTTAAAATAATGTGCGTTGTATAAATGTTATAATGTGTGATTGTTATAATATTTGTACGTGTATATATACTGTATATAGCGATTCGATTCCATTGATACGACACATTCATCCAACAGTGCACAGTGTGATTCTAATACGAGTGGGATTCTAATAATTGTAATTCGATTCTAATCCTGCATATCCTACCCCCGTGTTTGCATATTAACTTACCATACGTACTACCACATTCTGATTCTAATATGAGCACAGTGCGATTCAATGATTCGTATGCGATTATAATCCCATACCTCCATTTACGTGATTATACACTAACAATTAATAGTATTTTACAGAGTAATAATTGATAGGTTATAGTTTATAATATTATATACTCTTTGGTTATTTCAGTAAAAGACACATAGGCATTCAATAAATCACGACGTTTCAGGCGCAACACAAGCGTCCGGCATGTGTAAAAGCATGGTCTGCTGCTGAGGCAGAATGTTTTAAAAGGTTTGAAATGGGTGTAGACCTCGGGTCATAAAGAAGTGGCCGGGGCTAGTGATGTTCACGTGATAAATTAGCATGTAACTTTAGAAAGGAGGAGAGCGGCCTTCTCGACGAGGGAGTGCAACCCAACGGGTACAATCCAAAGGGCCTGTGAGTATGAGAGTGCAATCTAAAGGACATGCTGCTTCTGCTGCCCGGCGATTTGTGGCCGGGCCCTGCTCTCGCGGGACACCACACGTCTTTGGAAATGAATACTATGATCATGTCTGAGCTGAGGTTTGAGCGAATAAAGTTTACTTTGTGTAAACATAACTGCGTGTTGGTTTGTATAATCGGGGATCAGCGAAGACTACTCATGAATGAAAACGCACTCCCTTATGACGGACATTGTACAAATTTTTGTTGATCGAGTAGAACAAGGCACGTGCCACGTCCAGACGAATTATTATCAACAATAGTGTCCCTAAATAGTATGCTAAAATAAATGTTAACACTGGATTAAACCTGCACCTCTTAACCCCTCCCTCGCATTTACGACTAACGATTTGCATTTGCACGTAACATACATTAAAGCCCATTAAAATGCTAATATTACCATATTGTTATTCTAAAATTTGAATGCAAGCCTTGCCCTGTACCCCCCCCACCCCACAGTTCACATATCCGACCCCCGTTTCGATTGAACAGATAATTTACATACACATCTGTATGTCCCCCAAGTTGCTCCGCCCATGGTGGGGCCAGGTGGAGGTCATAGAGGTGGGTGATGTAAAGACAATGCGTCAACTAAGGGACAAGTGGTGACAACAAGATAGAGAGAGTTCGAGAAGGGAAGGCGGGACCAAGTGTGGGCGGAGGTTCACGCCGAGAATGAGAGAGGGGGAGGAACGAGGTTTGGGGCTGTGTTGGCTGGTTGCTGTCTCGTCGTCATCGTTGCTATATCGTGACGCCTGGGGTCTGAAACCGCGTTAAAGGCTAAATAAAATAACCCTCTGCAGTCTGAGTCCGGAGTCAATACAATTGTAACGATTCATTATTTCACGGGCTAATATTGGGTTTGTGCGATTATTTTACATAATCATACTGAATATTGCTATTTGATGCCATTGAGATGGAATATTCATCCAATAGTGGACAGCTTGATCCTAATACCACCAAAGTGTTGTTTAAATCCCATCCTGATCCTGCACCTTCTGCTTCACATATCCCACCATTTGTTGGCACGTCCATATTACATATGTAGAGGTGATACGCGCTGGGATTAGGGATCGTATGCACAGTGCGTGATGATTGGCTGTGTAGGTGGTGACGCGCGCTGACGGTGGAGGATCAGGGGTCAGCGCGGGGTCGTGGGTTACGGGGTACCGATTGGCTGTGGGCCGGTGACGCGCTGAGAGGGAGTGATCAGGTGGCAGCGCAGTGTGATTGGTGGAGTAATGTTAACACGCGCTGGGGAAAGCGGATCGTAGAGAGAGTGCGTCGTGATTGGTTCATTAAGGAACGACGCTCACGTCGACGCCGCATCAGCTCCGTCTCTCGTGAGCAGGGGCTATAAAAGGGGATGCACACAGGCGTAAGGGGAGTGTGTAACCAGCGAAGAATGAAGACGGGGATGAAGACCTAGAGCCCTGCGGTACCTAGCCCCGCTGTCCTAAGGGGACCGGGACTCTGTGTAACCCAGAGGCGAGTGTAGTGTGTGTAGCCATAGGTCTACACGAGCCGAATGTATTGTGTGTAGCCAAGGCATAGGGCTTACACGAGTCGAGTATATTGTGTGTAGCCAGAGGCATAGGGTCTACACGAGTCAAGAGTATCGGGTGTAGCCAGAGGCCTAGAGCTTACACGAGATTAGTGGAGTGTGTCGTCGGAAGAAGAAAGACCACACGTTGTATTGTGATACCTAAAGGATTTAATAAAAGTGTGTTACCCGTCAAGAAGTTCCTGCCGTCAATTCCAATACTTCAACTGGCGTCAGAAGTGAAACGGTCCTCCAAGCATGGATACAAGGAGGAGCCGTCGGACCCACGGGATTGACCACGGGGACAACCTCGACGACGCGGGCCAGCGGGCATCAGGGGGTGAGGAAGAGGAGCTGCCCACGGGGCAGGATCCACCGACGGCGCCGGACGAGCGACGGGGGACTGACACCGTGCTTCGCGAGGCACACTCCCGTCTGGCGGAGCTGCTGCTCGCCGCCGCGTCCATCTTGGCGGAGATCAGCTCGTCGGGAGGAGCGGGGACGGCGGCCGACGTGCTACAGGGTCGCCCTGCAGATTCCCGCCAAAACGATTTGGCGATTCCCGCCATTTCATCCGCTCCAACTTTTGGCGGGAACGGCCATCACCACGTGGCAGCGGTTCTCCATGCGCGCCCGCTGACGTCACCAACGCGCGCGGCGGACCGCCATCACACACCCGCCACTGGGGCCGCCATTTTACACACCGACGGGGGGGCAGAGAGGAAGCACGAGGAGGAGGACGACTTTATCTTTCAGCAGCGCCTTCCCACGTTGTCAGCATTCAAGGCGGAAGGCGGGGATTGGAGCCAATTTCAGCGCAGATTTTTGGCGCATCAAGAGATGTCCGCCTGGTCCGACGCTACGGCACTGCGGGCACTGCCTGCCATGCTGGACGACAACGCGCTCGCGGCCTTCACGTCCGCACGCAGGTCGGACCGCTCCACGCTCAAGGATGCGCTGGCTCTCATGGCCAAAGTCTACGGTCCTCCCTCGGCGTGCCGCCATCATTTCTACGCAAGACGGAAGGCGGACACGGAGACCGTGCTCGCCTACCGCACGGCGTTGCTCGCTCTCGCTGACGCCGCGTTCCCTCGTATGGACGAGGAGGGCCAAGATGCGATGGTTTTGGAGCAGCTGCTCAAGTTGGCGCAGGACCTGGGGGTCCCCATCAACACGGCCGACGAGACCGATATTTCTTCATTACGGGTCGCCAAGAGCATGCAAGCGCACGAGGTCCTTCAACGAAAGCAGGGGGTCGTCTGCAACGCTGCCGTGGCCTCAACTCCGGGTCCGGTTGACACCGTGCCCCAAGTCGTCAGCCCACGAGAGGACGCGTTCATCGCGGGACGAGCGGGGGACTGGAGGTCGGGGGGTCGTTCGCCTCTGCGAGCGGCCCGCAAGCTGGAGCAACCGAGATCTCCGACTACTGTCATCACCTGCTATAACTGCGGCATTCGTGGCCACGTGGCCTCCGGTTGCCGCGCCCCACGTCAGCGCGCCATGGGACCTCGGCTGGACGACGACCAAGGCCCCAAGTCATCACTGCAAACCCCGG